AACCCTGAGGGTTCCGGGTTTAGGGTTTAGGGGCCCCATAAACCCTGTAATCCTATGCAGCCCCTATGAAGCCCTTCTAAGAATTCCTTCACAAAGCCTCAAACCATCAGAACCCACCCCGCCTGGTTGCTGCGCTGTCTAGGGCCTTGATGAGGTTCTCCGCATATTCTTTGTACTTGGCCTGGGTCCGAAAAACCCTAAACCCTAAATCCTAAACCCTAAAACCCTAAATCCTAAATAAACCCAAACCCCTAACCCTAAAACCCTAAACCCTAAACCCTAAACCCTAAACCCTAAAACCCCTAAACCCGAAACCCTAAACCCTATTCTTTGTACTTGGCCTGGGTCCGAAGTTGGGAGCTTTTGTCCTTCGGGGTCCTCATTTCAAGCAGAAAAGGTTGGGGTTTGGGGCTTGTAGGGGTTATCTAGGGCTTACTTGGAGGTTCATGGGTAGTTATAAGTGGGGTTATAAGTAGGGTAACTGTAGTTAAAAACCCATATTCGGGGACTTCTAACTCGACTTATAACTACCCATGAACGTCCAAGTAACCCTAGATTACAGCCTAAACCCTAAACCCTTACAGTTTAGGGTGTAGCCTTTGAGCATTGCGCGTTTTGAGGGTTTCAGGTTAGCGCCTGGCTTTTAATGATGAGACTTCCGGTTCGCGTAGGGTGGATCTCCATGAAGTTTAGGGCTTAGGGTTTAGGGTTTAGGGTTTAGGGTTTGGGGGAGCCTAAACCGTAAACCAACTTACTGTTGTCATTATTGCTACATTGCGGCTCTTCTCGAAATGTTCTAAAGCCGTTATACTGTAATTGGTATTGCTACTAGTATTATTGCTATAGTTTATTCGTGTTATGGTTCATATTGAATCACTAATGTTACTACTAGTAAGCAGGAGTAGTAGGAGTAGTACTCGTCGTCGTTCGTTGTAGTAGTCTTAGTAGTGACAGCACAACTAATAGCAAAAGTAGAACCAAAGTAGAACATTGTAAACATCGCACTAACCACGCATTCTCAAAAAGGCTTGCAGCAGACCAGTCCTTGCATTTTGAAGGTATTGGTCAACCCGCCTAGCTCCCTCCCGCCGTTGAGGCCCAAGAACGGACAGTTTCATCGCAGGGAGGTCACGAGCCTCACGCCTTTGCACGCATCCGAAAGCCCCAGAAGAGACGGCTGCTGAAGAGGATCCCCCTTTGCCACAATGTCATGCGGCATCAAGCCCTAGTACAAAGCAGATAATGACCCTACTCTCCAAACCCCAAACCCTTCCAGGAGGTACCTCGCTGTGCTTTGTGTGGCTCTGATGCCGCACACAATCCCTGCAGTGCTCGAGTTCGACCCAGGCGCCCTGCGGTTCCGGACGTCTGCGATGAGGGTTTAGGGTTTAGGGCTCATGCGCATGGTTGCTTATGAGGGAGGTGGTGGTGCTGGTGATGGCCAGCACGATGGTCATGGTAGTACTGACTGTGATGACAATGGCGACGGCAACGGTCAGGAAGATGGTGATGGCGAGTGGGGATGATGATGAAGAGAAAAGAAGAGAAGATGATGATGTTGATGATGATGATGATGTTGAAGAGGATGAAGATGACGGTGCAGATGCAGAAGAAAAACGATGATGATGATGATGATGACCATTGTGATGACGATGGCGTTGCTGATGATGATGATGATGATGATGATGATGATCATGGTGATGACGAAGTGATGACGATGATCATGATGATGATGACGACGATGAAAATGATGATTGTGGCGATGATGATGCTGATCCTGATGGTGATGGTGGTGATGATGATGATGGTGATGGTGATGGTGATGGTGATGATGATGATGATGATACTTCGGCTAGTCCTCCTGCTGAAGGTAATGAAGATTGGGTCAAGCTGTAGCGCTTCACACAAATGTAAACTGTCGAGAAGGTCCGTGTGTAGGTTGCTGGTTGGTGCAATCAGTCCCACTGCGCACTACACTTCCAGCTTAAGCTGCGAACACTCCAAGAATACAGTTTTAGAGGCAAAGACGATCCCTAAACCCTAAAGTCACAGCAGAACTGCGGTCGGCTGGCGCCCCAACAGCTGAACCCCCAGAGCTGAGCGCAACTGATGTAACCAGTAGCTTGTGGCTTGTTGCTGGTTGCGTTTAGGGGTTGTTGGTTTAGGGTTTAGGCTTGAGGGTTTAGGGTTTAGGGCAGATGGGATGAACGACAGTTTTGGAACTGCCGGCAATGGCGCCTCCCACACTCCTCCCTTGATAAGTGTTATAGAAGCAACATTCACAAACATGGTACTATCTCTAAGCATATCCGCAGTTGCTGAGATACTATGGATCGGCTGGCCTTGTGTCGTCTTGTTCTACGAGACCGGTCGTCTGACATCGTAGCCACATGTAGGCCACAGGCCCAAGAAGCACTCTGTAAATCTGAAGCCGTGCCACATGTGAGGGCCGTTCTGTGCTATGCTAGTTCTAGTAAACCGAAACTGAACCGTCTCATGGCAGCCACCTGATTTTAGAGATCCTAAACCCTAAACCCTAAACCCTAAACCCTAATCCGTGGATGTTGCAGGAAGCCCTCCGAAGGGACGTAGCAACCTGCCCGTTTTGGTCTCTCTCTTGGAAGTTGTTCTTACAATCTTGCATCTGCTACCTGTCGCATGTCTCGCTGGCAGCCAAGGCGGTGACAAAGAACGTGGGATCTGGGCACTAAACTCTCCTAAACGCCTAAACTCCTAAGCCCTAAGCCCTAAGCCCTAAACCCTAAACCCTGAACCTCAATCCCCAACGCAAGTAACGGGGGCCATAGATAGGGAACGATCGCAGTGCACATGGTTAGTTCTCCAAATTAGGGTCCCTTTTTTCCAGGGCTTAGGGTTCAGGGTTTCGGGTGTAGGTCCCCAAAATGATACTGCGCCCAAAAAAGAAGGACGCGAAAAGGGACACCTATTCAGAGAACTACCCACATACCTTAACCTACCAAAACCTACTTTTTTGAAGGTTCTTATTATAAACCCAAATAGGGAATTTATAGGGACCCTACAAAACAAGGGTAGAACTTTGAAACTCATTTCGGGGCTCGGGCTTGGGCCTGCGACCCATTCAGCCGACGTGCGTTTGCTGAAACAGCGTAGTACGCACGGGTCGTAGTGATTTAAATAAGGCTGTGGGCTCCTTTATAGTATAATCCTAAACCCTAAACCCTAAAATCATAATAAGAAAACCTAAGGGGTCAGGCTTCTATAAGTATCAGCTTGCTCATTTTCCTGTGTGATGCTCCGTACCTCCCCGAATTGCTTCACTCCATGCGGCGCATCTAGCGAAACTTTGTGTCTTTGGGTTGCCCCAAACCCTAAACCCTAAACCCTGAACCCTAAATCCTAAATCCTAAAGCCTAAACCCCAAATATCAAGCGTATTCGGAATGCTTGCCGACCGCCGGACAGCCCCTCGCTTCAAAAATGGTAATTAGGGTATAGGGTTTAGGGTTTAGGGTTTAGGGTTTAGGGTCAAGGCCCGAACCCTAAACCCTCAACCCTAAACCCTAAACCACTACACCCTAAACCCTAAACCCTAAACCCTAAACCCCCAAACCCTAAACCCTCAACCCTAAACCCTAAACCCTAAACGTACAGCCGAATGCAGGTCCCCGAGACGGTATCCCAAAGCAGCAGGGGTCTATGCTGACCCCAAAAAGCGAAGTCCGAATCTTTAGAGCTTTTAGGGATTAGGGTTTAGGGTTCAGGGTCATAAACCCTAAAGCCTAATCCCTAAGCCCTAAACCCCTAAACCCAATGTCGTCTCCAACATCGCCCGGCCCTGTATCTCCAACTTTTGTCTCATTCCGTTGCACGCTTCAGCGCAGTCTGTACGGAAGTCTAGAGTGTCTAGGCAATGGATATATATCTTGAGTATCGGAAAGAATTCAAGATTGAAACGGAGGGCCACAGATGTTGGGTCCACCTGCGCTGGGTTCGGTCTCCAGCCGTAGCGCTTACAGAAACACCAGCATCAGTTGAGGACACCTCTGGGCCCAAGGCGGGCCACACAAGGCAGGTATGCCGAACTCAAACAAAAGCACGATCCATGGACCATTGAGCACAAGATATCACCCATAAAACCCTGACTCCCTCTTTACTCGAATTCGAAGACATAGATGGTAAGGTAGTGTGCCCGGAGAGGTGAGCATGGTTTAGGCTTTGTGGCCTCTGCCCACAGAAACATCTCACGAGCTGTACGGAGAAACGCCAACCTTGGGATAGTCGCCCTGCCGACCTTAGAAGGAGCCATGAGATGCACAAGCAAGTACATTGGCACACAGAGATAGGACACACGTACAAACGTTCCGTACATCTAGTTCACATCAAAATCTACATTATGTATATACATAAACATACATGCACACGTGCGGGTGTGTGTGCGCGTGTCTGTGTGTGTGTGTGGATGTGTGGATGTGTGGATATGTGGATATGTGGATATG